ACAATAATTTCTGTACGATGTGCACTGTACAACGGCTATTTCGACTTTTTTTTAAATATAAAGATTGATTAATATAACAAAAAAAATGAAAAATTTAGATAACAAGTTTGGTACTTGCTGGTACAAATTGAAAAGTTCATTATTATTTTATATTATTTTAAAAACAGTCACCACCTTGATCGCCAACGTTGATTATTTCAACAATTTTTTATTGTTTCAGCCATTTTTGTTCCAGTTTCCACGCCATCGTCTTCCATTTAGATTATAATTTGAATTTGAATTGGAAAACCCGTAAAAATTAGGAGCATAACCTCCCCAATATCTAAAGCCATAAGTCCGAGCAGCTCGATATCTTTGGCCGGTGACCAAAACAAAAGTTAAAAAAAGAAAAATAAAACATTGGAGAAGGCAAACAAAAAGGATGAGCTTTGCAAAGCTGAAAACTTCATTTTTGCAATTTGCATTTTTACTTTAAATGCTGGAATGTTTTTAATAATGACAAAGTAATTTAAACTTTAAAATGCTTTTTATAATTTTTAACAAATTTTTTGTTTGTTTTAAATGCCATAACAGTTTTGTGCTATGAATAAACTGGGAAGTATATTGTCGGTTTTAAACAAACATTGTTGTATTTGATAAACAAAATAAAAAATTTGTTACTTGCTTAATGGATAAATGCAAGGTCAACAGCAATAAGACCGGAAAATATGGTTTTTGCGTAAGTAAAACAGCAAAATTATTTTGTTAAAAGTATATATTTTTTAAGTAATAAAATTTTAATTTAAAAGTGCAGACAAGTGTGGAACTTGTTGGTACAAATTGAGCAATTTTTATTAATATTAAGCATGTCACCACCTTGATCACCAACGTTGATTACTCCAACGACTTTGACTGTTCCAACGATTTCGGTTGCCCCAACGATTTTGAATGTTCCATCTATTACTGTTCCAACTTCCTCTATTTTGGTTTGGACCACCGCCGAGACGGCCTCCACCCCAATAAGTGTTTCCATAAAAACGACTGGCTCTGTATCGTTGACCGGTGACCAAAAAAGAAGGGGAAAATATAACAATTAGTGAAACAACAAAAAGTATTGATGAAATAGACAAAATAAGGATTTTCATTATTGTTTTTTGCAATTTGTTAACAAATATCTGAAATAAAGTTTTAAAATAACAAAATAATTTTTATTTAAATATGTTTTTGAACCGTCGTTTTTTTGCCCAAAATGAAGCAATGCTCATAATAATTATAAAAAAACTAGGATGTGTTGTGTTACAAACGAATAACACGTTATAGTAGAGTTGCACTTAAAAATATTGCGACCTATTGATAAACACACGTCCGTCAAAAGCACGTCAATTGTTTGGTTAAAAAATAATAATTGATAAAAGGCAGGAAATTGTCTAACTAAAAACAGTTTTTGTGTCAAGTTAGCGGTAATAATAAAAAAACACTAATTGTAAAAGTTAAAACTCACAAATAAATCTTTTTTACTGAAACAAAACAAAAAAACTTTTTTAACTTTAGCCAAACTTAATCACAGCAAAAATCGCAGCAGGTAATGAATGAACAGAAATGGTCCAAAAATTGTCAACAATCCGCCCAGCCACTCCACTAGGGCGCTACTTTTCTGCTCTTGATACAGCCCTTTAGCTTTTGGGTCTCCTTTTGAAACCATCTTTGCTGCCACCATCTTTGAGTTTACCTTCTTTCGGTCCCAAACCCAACCAAACAAAGCAAAAAAGTCAATTACTGCAGTTGACAAGTTAAAAACGTCTGACGGTCCTAGCTCACTGGCCGAGTAGTCCCAGGGAAATGCGTGATGGTAGTTGTGGAAACCTTATTTATAAAAGGACAATTGAACACCACTTTTCTCACTATTTAATCATTCAATTACCTTCTCCCAGAATAACGTGCCTGATAGAGGCCTCCACGGGGGCGATTCCCTTATCATAAGGTCGACTGCCGTACATATGGCACCAGCCTTAGAAATAAAAAACAAAGGTTAAATGTTCATATTTAACTTATCTTACCAATTTCCTAACTTACTATTTACTAGCCAGGTACTGTTGAGTGAGTAGGCGTAGCGCAACGCCAAGCACACCAGAAAAGACCGCCAAAGTGACTCGCCCCAAAAGTAGACGGGAATGACAGTGGGCAGAAAGCCCCAAATGAGCAACACCAGCGGCAGGTAGAAACGCCGCTGAAAGCGGACAATCGGGTCGGCCAGCAGGTCACTCATGTCGACGGTTTTGCCGCGTCGGAACACCTCAGGGTGCTTCTTCACCATCAGCCAGCCCTTAATTTTAGGACAAAACAAAAAAAATTATTTTTTGTTTTTTAACTGAATTTTAAAGGTACAAACCACATGACTGAAGAAAAAACCTCGTTTTGAGTTGTGCGGATCGGCGTCCGTTTCTGAAAACTTGTGATGAGCTCGATGATCTCGCGCCCATTCGTAAATGTCATTTTGCAGCGACAGAGTCTGGCAAAAGGCAAGAAACAAACGGACGCCAAAGTTGGCTTTGAATGATCGGTGAGACCTGAAAAATGAAAGCATTAAAACTGATTTTTGAAAAGAGGAAAAGATTACCATAAACGGTGAACGCCTGTAAACAAAAACAAAAAATAAATTTAAAAAATGAATCATAAAATAAACTTTTTTACAAGTTTACCAACTTGCACGCCCATACTGGTGAAAAGCATGAGGACAATGGTGAAGAGAATTGTGGCCGTGCTGACACGCCCGAGCTGAGTCAGTCCGTAAAGGGCAAATGCGTGAAGGACAATCAGTCGGGCAACGCTTTTCCAGGCAATTTGTATCTTGTAAGCAGATTGCGGGTTATCAGATGGATTTTTATCTTTACTGGCCACTTTTCTTTGGCTGTTCTTTTGCGCTGGCTCACTTTTCAGTTGTTCTTGTTCATGCTCGTAAAGCGCATAAACAATCTCTTCTTGAGCAATCATTTTTAGGTTTTAAAAATACTGTTGCTAAAAGGGTTATTTCAACAATGCCAATTTGTTTTATATAAGGTGGCAAGCAAAACCAAGTAATAAATCAACAAAATTTTTCCTTTAACCTATTTTTTCTGTCTAGTATATAACCGCTACTCACAAGTTGCAGTTTCCATTTTATTTTTGTATAAAAGGGGTAAAACATGCAATTAAATAATAATCCTACTAAAAGTTTTTGTTAAAATTTGGCTGTGAGTGCAAGAGACTTTTACTTTACAATGTAACCAGATGATTTTTTGTTTTTCACAAACAAGGAAGTTATTTTAATTCCAATTCAAACAGGTTAAAAAAACCAGTTTAAATCCTAAAAACTAAACTATTTTATTTAAAACATCAGTTCACTTATCCAGTTTTCAAGCTCTCTTTTCTGGTCAATCTTTCTCGTCTACTATCAATCAGAATCCAAATCCTCACAAAAGAGAAGATAATGAAACTGACCACTGTGAAGACAAAAATTGCCTCTAGTAGGACGATTGGATGGGCTTTAAAAGTTGACCCCAACAGCAGTGGAATGACCAGACAGGCGGTTCCAGCACAGAAGGCGTACAACGTACAAACGCGAGCTGTGAGCCCAAGAAAGTGCTCCGTGAAACCAAACAGTCCCGGCCAAATGGCGCTGAAACCAAAGCCTAAGACGACGTTCCCAGCGTAGATGGCATTCAGGTTGTGCTGCGTCAGGTAGAGAAAGGCAATGCTGCCTAGGAGGATCACGTAGTGATAAGCGAGGATAAGGTCCGGTTTCAGTTTTAGCGAGATGAAGGCTGTCAGCAGACGACCTAACGTGAAGGTGGTGCACATGATCGATTGGACGCGTGCTGATAAGGGCGCCGAGAGGTGGATCGGCAGGTACTGGTACATGCTGATGCTGAAGGCGACGTAGCCAAACTCACAGGCAACGTAGGTGGCTACGCAGATGCCCAGCAGAGCAAGTTTAGTCTTTCGAAAGCTTATTGCTTTTACTTTATCAGAGGTTGCTTCATCTTCATTTTTGAGTACTACTTCCTTGTCCTCTTTTTCCTCAACAACAGTCTCCGGTTTGCGGTACCTCGCCGCAAAGAACATGACCAGAAAGAGGATGGGAACTGGGGGAAAAAAACTTGTTAAATTGGTTTATTAGTTTTTACAACATGTTATCAACTTACAAAGCACCTGAAAGGCAGCATTGATCGAGAAAGGAATGGTCAACGAGTGAATTCTCATCTCCGGCGTTATCGTCTTGTTTCCATCTTCTGTCACATTGCGCCGACCATAAACAAAAGGAGCGCAAAGAAGGGGCGCCACTATCGATCC